ATTATCATTGCACGATGCACTACTATTCATCACTCATTCACTAGTCATCAACCCTGATTCTTTTATTTATCACCTCATTCCGATCCATTACTCTTAAAATAACTAATCATTATATCGTGCAACAACATTCATTTATCCCTCTTTCGATTTTGTTCTTCCATCAAATTATTACTATTACATTCTTTCAGTAATCAACAATTCTCAACTTATGATCCAAATGCGAACGTGCTCACTTATCACACCAACGAGAAAGACTGCTTCAAATTTATTCGACTGAATTTTGAATGAACCATAATGAACATTTAGTGAGAACAAACCCCGCTTAGTCATTACTTCACCTGCTTTTGAAAGCTTCAGCAACCAGCTTCAAAATTACCTGGTATCTTTTCAAGCAGGGATAATTTATCGTAAGGACAAAGAAAAGATATCTTGCATGATATCAATTCGAAAGAATGCACAATTCATTATTGGAAACGTTTTGGATTGGAGCGCATTTGATGAATGTTTGAGGGAATGGTCGAACGTTTGCTATAATATATTCATGAACGAAATAAAATTTATGAAAGTAAAGAGATATTGACGGCACAAATAATATGCGAACGTTTTTTTTAAGGATAGCACCGCTAAGAGATGAACAATTTGATGCACAGTACTACAACAACACCACAACCACGTTAATCTCACATTGATGTGTCGTAAAAAGAAGAATGTACCGCAGCAAGAAAGATACGGTACTATTTGATGAGTAATGGTCACTGTGAGCTTACGTTATTTCGAATGATGATGCAGAATTACGTTAGGACGAGTTGAACATTCAGATGAATTTTCGAATGTTGAAAAAGAAATCATTCCACCTTCTCACTGCGATTTTCTCATCATTTTTTTGCACTCTCTTCTATGAATGATATGATCAAAGTGAAGTGAGTTCGTAATCATTATCAAAAAGTTCGTAATCACCATTTGAGCTGATAATGTATAGAATTGAATTTGTATACACATATAGAGGCTTATGCTTGTTGTCAGTATAACACTGGAATGCATTGGAGAACTGAGTAAACAAACGCCGTCATTAAGAGGTATTATGCAACCCATAAGGTCTAATAATCACTTTAGCAAACCGTTTTGATTCATATTTTGTACAGTGAGGTAATTCAAGTAGATCAATACCCATATCGTACATTCAGCATCGAGGAATCAAATACAGATGTAATGCGCCAAAGAATGAGAGTCGTTTAGAGTAGTAGGTGTCTTTCTAAGACATACAATCTTTCTGTTTTCTGAAAATTTTTGAATATGAGCATCGTTTTAGATCGAAATTACCGAACGGAACATAAAAGTTTTTTTGTGCTTGAACATGATCCCAAACTTCTATTTCTTGCAACCAAAACCGGGTTGCAACTCCAAAATTTTAGCATTCAACTATCGTTAATATTTGCCTTTTCAATAAACATTATATTC